TAACCCTGGGCCACACTTGTCCTGGGTGACCCCAGTGGTTCCAGGGCCCTTTATCCCTCTGGGCCCCACTTACAAGCCATCACAGTGCCTTCCTCCTGAGGCTGTCAGCAGGGTGAACCTGTAAGTTCTTATCCAGGGCCCTGGCGGACCCAGAAGACAGTTGGGATTATTCTTGCCGCAGTGGCTCCTCCTGCAAGGAGAGTCTTTTTGTCCTACCTGGAGCGTACTCAGGCCTACTTCCGGCAGTGCGCAGAAGTGCTGGCTGACCGCTGTCACCGAGTAGCACTGCTTGTGCTGTTCCTTAAGTGGGTCGTGGGGAGTGTGATGGAGCAATAATACGGAGTGCAGGACAGGTGGGAAAAGTCTTGATCCCCGATTTTTCATTGTGTGTGTGTGCATGCCCATACACCTGTTCTTCCCAGCGTGAAACGTGTGGTTCTCAGTCAGTTGTGGACAGACAGGTTTGAAATACACGAACTGTTGCAGGACCTGCAGTGCGCTGGGTTGGCCTTCACCTTGAAAGGCACTTTTGACCTTGAGATTCTGTGAGCACTTCCTTGCCCTGGGCGAAAGCCTTTGTTTCTGTGGGTCTCTGTTTTCCCATCTGAATGGAGAAGTGGGCCATTCTATCCGAGTTTTACCTGACCTCTGGTTGTATAAGTACAGCTTCCTGGAGGAAAGGGTCCCCACCTGTAGCTCTAAATGGCACCTCTTTGTACTTCTGTCCTCCTCTCCTCTTCTTTCTCTCTGAGAGAAGCTTACCTTCCAAACTTCCAGGATCCAACAAGAAGTGGAGGCTACCTGTTTTCCCCAAAGTGCACCTCCTTGGGCCAGGGATGGGGGTGGAGGGTATCTAGGGGGTAAGGCTGCTGTGGGAGGATCTTTCAAAGCAAGCGTCTGACAAGTGCCCAGCAGTGGACAGAGGTTTCCTTGGCCTTTTGTGGGCCATTGGGCGGATGACACGAGGGCTGGGTTCTCAGCAGGATGTCGTCACATCCCCGGAGAGAGGCCCTTGTCTTAGTCCTCCGGCTTGGTCACTTCATGATTACATGGTCTCCAGCCTGGGGATTCGTTGACACTGCCGCAGCTCTGCCATCTTAGCTGGTGTCGTGTGGAGACCAGAAGAGGACTGGAAACCTCCAGATGGCTAGAGGGCCATCTGGTGACATTGCTGGCTAAAGAGTTAACCCATAACTTGGCAACACAGCGAGCTCGAAGGCCTGCAGACAGCCATCCCTTTTTTGAAATCGAGCAAAACTGGGTGCCGCTCAGCCTGGTAGGAGGCCTGGATTCCTCACAGCTGGAGGTGGGGAATGAGAGCAGGGAGCTTGTCGGATGGAGCTGGGTCTCTGCATATGGCATGGGGGTGAGGGGCGCCCTCTGGCTGGATTTGGGTTGCAGCCTAGATATCTGCCCTTGCTCTTCAAGCAGAGGGGCTGGCCAGCTCGGAGATGGGTTGTCAAGGATCCGTTCTCTCCTCCGTGCTGAGATTGTGGACGGGTATGACCTGCTCCTGCCCTGAGGTGGGGAGGGTCACACCTGGGCCTGGGGGCTTTCTGGAGGCCCTTGGTTGAAGCACCCAAGCTCTGGGTGCAGGAGCTGAGGTTGAGTGCAGCCTAGTGAAGGGGCAGATGAGGGTGGCGGTACAGACAGCGTTAGAGGGGCGTGGGAGTGGTCCGTGAGAGGACGCACTGGCCCGGAGCCTGGCCTTCAGTACCCACCTGGGATAGTGAGCCGCTTCACGGCAGGTGGCACCGTTGAGACTCAGGAGGAACTATTTCCACAGCGCCTGCCAAGGGCCAGCCAGGGTCGGTTTTCCGGATCTCCCTTCTTTTCTGACCACTGTTGACTCTCCTCCCTCTTCGCTGTATGCGACAGGATTAGATTATGCCCACCTCATGAGTAGTGTTTAAGGAAGCATGAGAGAGGTTGTAATCATGAGACACACGGGTAGTAAATAAATGTTCATTTCCTGCAGCTGTAGCTTGTTATATCTGCCTTTGATTGACACCTCTGAAGGCTCTTCTGGAAGGAGGGAGAGAACTCATTTTGTATACGTAAACAACTGAGGCCCAGAGAGGTTGTCGGAAGTCTAAGGGTACGGTTTGTCACTAGGTCCCATGACCGCGTTCCGCTGCAGGGCTAGCTGGGAAATCTTATCACTAGCTTATGGCCACGTGTCCAGCAAACCGAGTGACTGTCCATGAGGGGATGGCAAGCAGTTTCATGACCACCAAGCCCTGGAATGGTAGTTTCTAGAGAATGAGCACGTGCCTTCAGATGGCCCACTAGAGAGCATAGGGAGAAGAAAGTATTAGAATTTCTGTTGGCGTGTTTTACTGTCCCTGTTTAGCTTACCTGTGTGTGTGTGTGATAGTTTATAAGGTATTGGCACAGATAACTTACCGCATCCATGCATCCCTGTGTCACGGGTGGGCATACACTGGCACCTATGATACCCATGAGTCCAAGCATTGGGTGGGCCATCAAGGACAAAGGAGGAAAAGTCACCTTGGTAAAGCTCCTCTGCCCTCCCCTCTCCCGCTCTGGGCTCTGTGCTCCTGCTCATGGCCCTAATCCTCACAGTGGCCCGTGGCGTCAGTGTCCCTGTTTCATGTACGAGAGGACCCACCCCAGAGAATCCGTGAGCCTTGTTGGTACCAACGGGGAGTGTGTGCTTCTGCGTAGGGAGGCTGAGCTGAGAGAGCAGAGGTCACGACCCCTAGTTCGCCCAAAGAGGGTTCAGATGGAGCAGTGGCATGATGCCAGAGAAGACCTGGGGTTAGAAATTCTGAAGAGTGGAAGGACTGGAATTGGAACAAGGCGGTGGGGAAGCCTAGGAGGACTGTGCAGGCCTTGCCCTGGGTTGGAGGGGTGCGCTCTTGAAGCTGTGGGAACAGCACTCGTCTGGGGAGGGGGGCTCAGCCTCTACATGCTCATGGGTCTCCCCAGCCAGAAGACCAGTGGGTGGGTCCCAGGCCTCCCCCCTGTTCACTGCTCCTGAAGAACTCCCTTGGTAGGTTGCAGGAAAACCCAACAAGCCCCCTTTCCCAGCTCAAGGACTCTTCAGGAGTGCCCAGGAGAGACCCTCCAAGGCTGCTTTCCTGAGGAAGAGCATCCTAGCATGCGTGTGGCCCACCCTCACAAGTGGGACTCTGGCCCCTCCCCTGGCCCAGCTGAAGACAGAGGCCTCCCTGTTCTCTCATGGCTGGCTCGCCTGCCCTGCTACCTCCATTCTGAGCTGCGCCCAGAGGGTCCATAAGGAAAGGGTTTTGGGAGCTGGGAACCTTACTTCCTTCCCCTCCTGCGGACCAGAAAGCCGGCAGCCATGCTGGGTGAGGGCTCTGGCACTCAGTGCTCCTCTGGTCCGACTTCTGTAGTTGGACACCAGGGCTTGAGGAGGGGGGTAGCAGTGCATCAGAGATGCTGGTGGGCTGGCCTGGAAAGTACCAGGAAGCTCATATGCACTCCAGCTGGAGGGGGTCTAGGAGCTTCCTGCTTCCTTTTGTTTGGCAGATGAAGAAGGGTTTCCAATAGCGGTTAGAGTTGGCCTGAGCTTGGCATTCACACCGAACCCAGCATCCTGACCTTCAGAGCAGGCCTCTTCCCCATGCCCTGGCAACAGGGAGCTTGCAGCCGGGCAGGGCTAGGACCTACCTCAGAGCCTTAGGAGGGAGGCATCTGATAAAGCAGCTACCAGCTGGCCACCGTGGCTATTTCTTCCCCTGCCACTTTGTCAGGGACCCAGCTCAGGAAGTGCCGAGTCCTTGGGGGCCTCTCAGTAGGGAAGCTGGCAGCTACCGGGGAAGTTGGGCAGCCTCCCCACCTTGTCGCCCACACCACCAGGGGTCCTGGCCAAGGCTTCCCCTGCTGTGAGAGCCACCAGAACGGGGCATTAAGGTAGTGCCTTGCCTGACTCCAGGCCAGGAGCTCTCTGCCCTTGGGATGGTGACAGCCCTGGTGCCTCACTTCCCTCCCACGAGTGCCTCCCTGTTTGGGGGAATGTGAGAGGCCAGAGGGTGCAGGCCTAACAGATCCTCTCCAGGAACGTCCTCCTTGCTGCCCTCACCCCAGCAGGAACCTTTAAATGTCTTCTTTGCTTGTTCTCAGTGTTCTTTTTCTCATTTCAGTGTCTGACAGTGTCAGAAAAGGAAAAAGTTTTTTTTTTTTTAAAGATTTTATTTATTTATTTGACAGACAAAGATCACAAGTAGGCAGAGAGGCAGGCAGAGAGAGAGAGAGAGGAGGAAGCAGGCTCCCTGCAGAGCAGAGAGCCCGACGCGGGGCTCGATCCCAGGACCCTGGGATCATGACCCGAGCCGAAGGCAGAGGCTTAACCCACTGAGCCACCCAGGCGCCCCTAGAAAAGGAAAAAGTTTTTATTCGCTGTTCTGGCGTCGGCTGGGCAGTCCCACGAGGTGGCGGGGGGTCATCTGCCCTGAGTGGGCTCGGCCTGCCTCTACAGCATCTCTGATAACTGTGGCTCCAGCCTGCCAGCCCCGCAGCCCGCCTTCCAGGATGTGGCTTCTCTCCGGCTCCCTCCGTGCCTCTAAAAATAACCTTGCTATTTTGGAACGACCTCTTCTGGAGCTTTTTCTCACTGCTCTCTCTCTCTCGGAGCTGTAACCCCTGGGAGACCAGACTCTTGGCTGCCTCTGTCCTCCCAGCTGTCGTTACCGAGCTGTCCCCTTCCTGCCTTTCTCCCTTCCCCCGCTACTAGCTGGGGTCTTGTTCTCCCGCTAGGAGGGAATGTCCAGCTGGATGTCCTCTGAGAAGAGCAGGCCTGTCACCTCTCCTCTCTGGGACGGCTAGGACAGAAGTGGGGCCATGAGGGTGGGGACAAGGCAGAGCACCACCCTGTGCCCCTGTTGTAACTGGGGAGCCACACAGTTGCCAGAGGGCCGGGAGGGCCTGGGGGTGTGGGGACAGCCCATGCTGCCATACTCTGACCCCTGAGTGCTGGTCTCTGCGTGACCCCCGCCCCATGTTCTTCTTTGCAGCCCACAACCCTGCCTCAGGGCACCATCAACATGAACCAGTGCACAGACGTGGTGGATGGGGAGGGCCGGACAGGTCAGAAGTTCTCCCTGTGCATTCTGACCCCTGAGAAGGAACATTTCATCCGGGCGGAAACCAAGGAGATCATCAGCGGGTGAGTCTGCCCCAGCACCTCTGCATACCAGCAGGTTCTTGGGCCAGTTCTCTCTGGCACAAATTTGGCAAGATTGCCATCACTTTCTTCCCCACACATGTTCCCTCTTCTGAGTCCCCTCTGTCTTCACACTGCCACCATGTACCCGGTCACCACACCAGAAACTGGCCTTACCCTGCACCTGTCTTTGCGTCATTCCTGTGTGCTCATACTCTCCTTGTGTCCCACTTCCCCGTGGGCCTCCCTCTGCTGGCGCTGCCCCACCTCCAGGACTGCTGCAGCTTCCTTCAGCCTCTCAATGGTCTCACCACCTCCATTCTCAACCCTCTACCCATGTGTCATTCGACCACGAGGGTTTCAGTCCCCAGAGCACACCTGACCTTGCCTCTCTCCTGCCCGAAGCCCCATCACCTGGGAGTGAAGTGCAAGTTCCTTGGTTGGCCCAGGAGGCCCCTTCCCAGCCCTCCAGCCTCACCACCACCACCCTTGTGTCCCTCATTACTGAGCTGCTTATCACTGCACACCCCTGTGCTGCCCACCAGCTCTGTGCTTTCCTTCCCACCTTGCCTTCAGTTTGGAATGACCCCCCCATCCTTCAGCCTGAGTGTCCACTCTTGCGGGTAACCTGCCCCCGTGAGGCACTTGGCACCATCAGCTGGCTTTATGAAAGATGCAGATTGTCTGGGCGCACATCTGGCCTCCTTTAGCCAGCAGTAGGTCCTTGAGGGTGGACAGCTGTGTCCCATTCCTCATCCTCGGGGCCTACACACAGCAGTCACTCCAGTGCTGCTATAGACCCTTGCTTCTTTGTCCAGGTGGAAAGAATAGACAGTCCCTGAGTCACACCACTGCCCTGGCCTTGCCCTGGTCAGAAGCTTAGGGGAAGCCCTGGAAGGTGGAAGGGACCGGGTTTTCAGGTAGCTGACAGTCCGGGCAAGCAGAGCTCCGTGCTGCTGAGCTCATACCGTGTGTGCCTTCCGGAAGTCCGTACTCCTGAGGCGCATGTTACCAGCTCTATGCGACCTAGCCCCACGGTACATGCGCAGTGAGCAGGCTCAGCATGCCTGGCCAGGAGCTCGGGCGCTGGATCTTGGAGAATCCCATTGGTCCTTTAAGGCCGAGAAAGCTTTGAGAGAAAGTGAATTGGGGTGTGGTCGGGGTGGGCGGTTAGGGATCCTGGGCTGATTATTGTAGTGCAGAGTGGAGGGAGCTAGAAGGTGAAGCCTTTTGGTTTCAACAAGTAAAAAAAACTCTGAGCCCTGGCTGAGCTTCAGGATCTCAGGCCAAGGCTGCTGTATGAGGAAGTGAGAACAGTGGTCAGAAGGTCCCCAGGTTTTGCCGAGTTCAGAAGTTTAAATCCACGTTGTGCTGGGCTGGAGCCAAGGGCCAGAGTTGCACTGCAGAGTGACCAGCGGACCCTATGCTGGGGCTGCCAGCTCAGCCTGAGTCCTTCGTGCTTGGAGAGAGGGTTTGCATTTCTAATTCCTAGGGGCAAACAGCAGGACCGCTTGGCCTCTCCCTCTCCCTGTTTTTAATTCTAGAACCATATGGTTTAGGAGTGTAGAGGGCTCAGGGAGCCTGGCCAGCTGAATCAGAGAAGCATAGGACTCTTGATTTCGGGAACGTGGGCTTGAGCCTCATACTGGATGTGGAGATTAGTTTAAAAAAAATTTTTTTTAAATATACGGAGAGAGGACTTTTACAGAGCCCTCATTCTACAGTTGGGAGACTGAAGCTCTGGAAATGCAAGAACCCTGACGAAGGGCAGTCTACAGGCATGAGGGACAGCGGAGAGCCATTCGCGTTTCCCGGCTCACATCTGCTGCTGCAGCCCTGTCTGGCAGTCAGACAGCCTGCACTGAGGTGCCGCTGCCCGGCGGGATTCCTCGGGGGAGACCTAGCCCTCCCCTGAGGAATTAGGTCCGGTGGAGGATCCTGATTAGCATGAGGTATGGGAAGGGGTGTCCAGGGTCCCCAGGACAGGCTGGGGCATGTGTGAGCCAGGGGACCCAGGTCATTGATGTCGTGGTGTGCTACATGGCATGAGGAAATTGACAGCTGACGCAGCCTCTGCCAGGTGGCCCAAATCCTACCATCAGGCACCTACCACAAGCCAGGGGACTGCCTGTCCTGATCCCCTCTCCTAAGGACACTGCAAGTACGGGATGGGGGACTGCCATTCTGTGCAGCTTGAGTAGACAAGGTCATCGGTGGACCAGGACACCAGATGTGTGTGTTCTCTGGGTCCCACATGTTGGCTGGGCCATTCAGGTTTGTGCGGTGGCTCAGAGGCATATGCAGAGCTTTCCCCTGTCCTCATCCTGAGGATGGGCCTAGCTCATCCCTCCCCACCAGGAAGGGTTTGCCCCATGGCAACCTGTCCCTGGCCCCCAGCAACAGCTTCTTTTTCCTCACCACCCACTGGTACACTAGGCCTCCTTTACAGAGTCACGTCGGGTAGTGTGCTCTGGGGACAGACTTCTTTTTCCTCCATCTCCTCTCCTTCCTCTGCCTCTCACCTTTGGATGCATGCCTCCCTTGGCATCCTCACCACCTGGCACAGTTCCTTTGCCAGATAATCTCACCTGTGGGCTCTTAGACCTTGAGACCCAACTCCCTAATGAGGTACGGACTTCCTCTGGGCTGACTTAGAGCAGGGGTAGTTAGAGACAGTCCATCCAGACTTCTTTCTGGGTTCTTCTCTGAACAGAGGCTTCTGAGCCGCCTGAGGCTTCTCATCCAGAGCTGGATGGAGAGAATTGGTGGTTCTCTTTCCCACTCTCTTGTGCCAGGACGGGCCTTCAGGATGTTTGGGGCACAACTTAGCACAGGTCTTTCAGAGGAGGTGGGATGTAAGCAGGAGTGGGTGGGGTGGGGTGGGGACTCCAGCTGAGCTGGGCCTGATCCTTCCCCTTCTCTGTGTTCCTGCCTCACAGTTCTGCCCCCCTCGGTCTCACTCATCCTGGCTCTGCCATCAGAGTTGGGGAACCCACCCTACTGTGTCCTGGCACTCACTTCCACCACCGGTCCCGTGTCCATATTCGCCCCTTGCCTTTCTTCCCTCGGTGTATTTTACATGGTGACACATCTGAAGGACGTTACATGCTTCCTGCTGGGCTTCTGTAAGAAACCCCAGTGCAAGGGACATATTCCATCATCTGTCCTGGCCAGCCCCAGCCCGCCCCGAGTCTGCCGCCTTCTTCGGGCTGGCGCAGGAGCTCGCTGAGCTCCGGTCAGTCGGCAGTGCCACCTCGGTGCAGATCTCTTCCCTCAAGGCCCCGTCCCTCGGGCTCGCCAGTTTGCCTGCTTGCTCGTGTTGCCGATTGACAGCAGCTGGGCCACCTGCACCTGTCTGTCACAACCCCGTGCTCCTGGGGCCCTGGAGGGTGAGGGGACTTTGTGAAGCAGTCTCTCGTCATCTCCTAAGTAAAGCTCTGAGAGGGGTCTTCCCCAGACACAGCTTCCCAGGGTACCCAAGGAATATCAGCCTCTATGGCAGGCTGGAAAGCAGGTCTTTTAACCCCACATGTGTGTGAGTTCCTCAGATTATGTGAGTGAGGCGCTGAGAGTCTGCTCATCTGCAGGCCTTGCAGACACAGTCATGCCTCCTCTTGCTTTGGGGCCAGCCCGCAGAGGAGTGACCCACAGGGCCTGTGCCTCAGGTCTCCATGTGCCCAGAGTCATTCAAGCTCTCAGCAAATACAGAATGACCTGCTCGAAGCCGAGCTGCGCTCACCCCAGATGCTGTTATTCCCCACGCCCAAGCCCACTTCCCCAGCTCTCAACAGCAAAACCAGCATACCCTCCTGAGGCCATCCTAGAAGGTCACCAACTATGACCAACTTCCCTCCCTCCGCCCCCGATTTAAGAAGCACCTCGGGGTGCTAAAGACAGGAGCCCTCCTTCCTGACTCTGGCTCGAATGCTGGTGCTGGCGGGGCAGGCTCTGCCTCACACTGCAGCTCGGCCACCGTCCCAGGCCTGGGGTGGCAGCAGGCCCAGCACAGACCCTCAGGGTCCAGGGAGAGTGGGGCCAGATTCTCCTGCAGTACCTAACCCTCTGGAGAGAGCACCCTTCACCACCAGCCCCTCCTGTCCCCCTCGTCCAACCCTTCCAGATGTTAAGGAAGCTCCAGTGAGGCAAGCAGTGGACGTGTTATGGCCTAATCTGCCCCTGCTTTCAGAGAGGAGGAGACTGAAGCCTAGAGGCACAGGGAGCCCCCAAGGTCATGGTTAGAAAGTAGCAGAGCCAGCTCTGTATCAGGCCTCCTGCCTTCAGCCTCTGTTCTTCCCATGCTCGCTGGCTGCCTTTCCTGCTCCTGGTCCAGAGGGGACTTCCCAACTTGTGGGCCTTGGAGTGGGTCCCTGGGCAGCTCTGCTGGGCCTTCCCCAAAGCCAAGGTGCCCATAGCCCTCAGGGTGCAGGTAGGGCCCAGAGGTGAGTGAATGGGTCTGGGAGGTCAGCTGCTCAGCCCCTGGAAGTGACCTGCCACAGAGAACTTAGGTAGCACAGCTGCTGGTTTCCTGCCTCTAGAGGTCTAAATGCTACTCAGTAGCAGCGCATCTGTGCCTTAGCCAAATCTGCCATGGGAGGACAGTTTTAAAGCCAAGTCTAAACCCAAAGATAGGGTCAGCGATGGAAACCGTGATGTGCTCTGCACATCTAGGGCCGGTCACCGGGCCCTTTCCACCTGCACTATGGTCATTGTGGGGTCAGCATCTGGGCCTGGTCCCAGCACAGCCTATGCTTGTCCTGGGCTGCACTGTCGGCACTTCCCCAGCGGTGGCTGGCTCAAGTCTGGGTCATGCTCTGCCATGCTCCACTGCCCAGAGGCCTGGCCACTGGATGGGCACCCTCAAGTAGGAAGTATTGGCATGCTGCCTAGACCACCCAGTACTGTTCCCAAGTCCTGAGCGCAGGGATCTGATCCCTCCTCTTCTCTCCCCAGATGGCTAGAGATGCTCATGGTCTATCCCAGGACCAATAAGCAAAACCAAAAGAAGAAGCGGAAGGTGGAGCCTCCCACACCACAGGTAGGTAGAGTGGTGTCCATCAGTGGGGCTAGGAAGAAGTGAGAGCTCCCCACGAGGTTAAGAGACTTCAGAACCCAGCCTAAAATTAGGGGTGAGAAAAAGGATCCAGATGGGAGTGCAGCTAAAGTGGTTATGAGCCCTGCATGGGCTCTCCTTCCCTCTAGCGGTCTGTAGGCTGAGACCTGCATGCTCCTCTCCAGGCCACAGGGCAGGACCCCCCGCAGGATAGGGTGGCTTCAATCACGTGCTCCGGGGCCAGCCCAGGAACTTCGCAGTGAGGGAGCCGGTGCGCAGCGGCGGTATGATAGCATGTCCGTTCCTTGGCTGTCCTGCCAGCTGCTAGCGAGCAGAGGGCTTGCTCAGAGGGGCTGCTTGCTGTACGTGGGTATCCTTGTGCAGGCAGGGAGGGTCGTAGAGCATCCTGGCTGAGTGAGGAGCTCTCAGGGGACCCTGTTCCTGCTCTGGGCTTTGACCAAAAAACTGGTAAGACCTTGACTTTTGTGCCCCTGCCCTAACTCCCATTTGACCAAAGTGGGGGGTGGCTTGGATAGGTCCCATCAGCTCTAATCCTTCCCTAAAGGCCACTCTCCCTGTCTGCAGGGACACAGGCACCCAGAAGGGCTCTCCTTCTTTGTGCCATGCTCCTCACACTCCTGGGGCCCTGGTGGAGCAAATTAACTTTTCTGAGCCTCAGTGAACTGCTTTACAGAATGGGCCTTTGGACACCCAGTTACAGGATTGTTGTGGGAATGGAAGGAAGCGATGAGCCCTTGATGGGTGCTCAGCGAATGCTCCTCTCTGCTCCAGACTTCAGTGTTACTGAGTGCTTTGCCTTGCCTGATCGAGCCTCACAGCAACCCCCCAAGAGTGAGCAGGATGGGAATGAGGGTCCCTTGGGCATCTCGCAAGGCCCAGAGTCTGGCAGCGAGCCAGCCCGTGACGGAACCTGAGCCACCCCTGGGGACTCAGCAGTCTTTAGTGGCCGCTCTCTGCCTCACCGAGTGGTAGAGGTCCGCCCAGGCAGGACCAGGGGGTGTGTGCTGGCCTGGGTACCACCACCACCATCCCACACCCACCTGCCCCGGCCCCGCCATGCACGGGCCCTGAGGGAGTGCAGCCCTGGGCCCACTCTCAGCTGATGGTCATTGTTTGCCCTCTGTCCACCCTCCCCAATGAGCCTCAGGCCAGCATCCCCTGGAGGGTAGCGTACCTGGCAAGAAGTCAGCAAAATGCAGTCAGAGACCTTCCTGGAGACTGAAAGTGGGCTTCCTGCTGGGGAACGGCAGATACACACACAAATGCCCCAACACTGCCCGGTTTGAGAGAATAACCCCAGCGGAGTAATGGCGTGTAGGCTCGCGCTCTGCATTTCTGTAGTGATGCTGTGGAAGCAGTGCTGGAGCGGAGCTCCGGCCTCCAGGTCAGGTGACTGTGCATGCAGGAGACATGTTCGGCCCAGACCAGGGCACTTGGTTGTGTCCCTCCTGCCTGCCTGTCCCTCCCCCCAGATGGTGCTGGCCAGCCACGGCTGCGCTTCACTTCTGCAGTCAGTGGTGGGAGCCCCGTGATCACAGAGTGAGGAGCTGACCCACTTCTCTGAGATCTCTTAGAGCCCGGGTGTCCCCCCCTGCTCTGCTTATTCCCCTTCTGAGCCCTGCAGACCCAGCCTGGCAGGGCTCTTTTCCTTATGCCCCTTGCTCCCAGGAATATCACATATGATTCCACTGGTTTCATCTGGGGCCCATCTCCCTGTGACTCAGTGTCAGAAGGTCACGTGGGGTCTCTCCAGAGAAGAGTTGGGGATCTCTGGGCAGGCCTCCGCTCCACAGTCTGATGCTGAAGGTGTTTGGATGCCCCAAATGGAGCAGGGAGGGAAGCCTAAAGCTTTCAGGGCCCCTGTAGAGGCCGGAACCCAAGACCCCGTATCTGGCCTCATTTCTCTGTGGCCTGAGGGAGTACTGGATAAAATCAGTATGGTGAAGAAGCATTGCTGTGCCGTGCCCTGCCCTGGGAACTCAGGCAGGAGCATCCACAGGGTCCCACGTGAACAAGGATGTCTTGAGCAGTTGGGAGTTCCGGTCATAGACAGTCCGCTCTTCGAGTGCTTTTCTGAGAGCAGGCCCTGCGGGAGGGTGAGGGTCAGGCTGCAGGGGGAGCAGATAGCCTATAGGCTGGGGGCAGGGGCCCCAGCAGAGCCAGGACACCAAGGAGACAGTCTAGCCCTGGCCAGGGCCTCTGAGGCCTGAGAGTTGTGGTTTCCAGAGCTGCTGCTTAGCCGCTGTTTACTCCAAGAGGGAAGACTTTCCCCGATACTGAGATGTCTGGAGAGGAGGAGGAGGAGATTTACTCTGGGTGTGACTAAGACAGGAAGGATGGAGATCTTACCACCCACTCCCCAAATCCCAGACCTGGGACTCTGACAAGGTCAGGGGCCGCCTGTCTCCCCTGCCAGGTGTGTAGGTTGGGAGGCTTGGTTCATTAGGTGGAGCTCGGGAATGCTGGTTCTTCCCATCTCCCCAGCCTCCCAGGCTGGGCCCTTACTTCTCGGCCTTTCTTCAGAGACCTGTAAAACAACAGATGTCTCAGTGTGAGCAGAGGCAGGCCGGGAGGAATGTCCCTCCTGGTCCAGTACCCTGCTGCTTCTCAGCACCCCCCCCACACCCCGCCCCGTGTGTTCTGATTGCTCCCTCTTCTCCAGCGTCATGTTTTCTACCTGGGCGCCTGCTGCTACACCCACTCCGGGCTGTCTCCCTCCTTCAGGTCGGGCCTCTGCTTGGTTTCTGTGTCCGGAAAGTAGAAAGGAAGGCTTTCTATAAAACCGCTTCTAGAGAGGGTGTCTGCTTAGCTCGTAGATAGAGGCTACAGAGGCCGATTGGCCGGGGCCTGCCTTCCTGTCCTGTGTCCTCTTTTCCTCCCTGCTTTGAAAACCCTTTCTCAGCAGCCAAATGAAGAACACAGACCTCACTGCAGCATCAATCACCCTGAGCAGTGCAGGTGTCCCAGCCATGCAGGGACTAGCATGTAGGGGACCTGGCACTTCTCCCTCCTTCCTCTTTAGCGGGTACCTGTGGTCTCTGTCATTTTGAATCCCAGCACCGCCCCACCGCAGCGGTGACCGTGTGGGGAGCAGAAGCAGTGCCGCATAGCCCCAACCTGGTCTGTGCCAAGTCTTACTCACCACACATCTGCTTTGGAGAAGAGAAGCAACTTTACCCAGAGATCAGGCTTCCCTGTGTCACCCACCCACCCCTCTCCTGGAAGCCAGTGTGGCTTTGTTCCTGCTGCCAGACTGTTCCTCTCTCTCCACTCATGCGATAAGGCTTGGCATAGAGGCGGTAGAAGGCAGAGGCTCTGAAGGAGAGAAAGAGAACTGCCTATGGACCTTGGCTACCGTTCAGGGCCATCATTCTCTGGGACAAGTTCTCCAGAAGTGGGGAGCACAGAGAGGGATCTGTGGGTGCAGCCAGCCCTGCACAGGCTGGGAGGCCCCAGGGCCAGAAGGTGGGTGTGTAGCCATGTGGTGCTGAGAAATGTATTTGTTTCCCAAGTTCCCTTCATGGCTCATCGGATCTCAGGCCTAGAATTTCCTCTGCCTGTTGGGGATCCCTGCCAGCGCACCCCTCACTGTGGGGGTCACCCAGGCACCAGAAAGGGGTGTGCATATGCCGTGGGCACTTGACCCACAGCATGGGGCTAAGGGCTCTGGCAGCCTAGGCCGCCCCCCTCCAAAGCACAGCCACCTGCCTCTTCCTCTTTGGCCCTTTCTGGCAACCTCTACCTACACTTGGGCGCAGCCTGTCTTCCACAGAGGGGACGGATTCACCGAGACCAGTCTTCACGTCACCCCACGCAGCTCTGTCCCGAGCCCACCAGAGCATGCCCAGCCTCTGGCTTCCGGCCTTTGAATAGGAGACTCTGTTGTTGGAAGGGGCCATGTCAGGGGGACCTGGAGTGACTTCTGCTTGAGGGAAGCATTGCTGGGACATGGATTAAGGGCAGTATGTTGACTGGAGGTCCAGGTGGGCCAGCTCTCCTGAGATTGTGAGAGCCTGGTTCTGTTGGAGCCCTCAGGAAACTGTCCAAAACCATTGCCATTATATTTCAAGAAATCCACTTCTTGCAAAGTGGGTCAGAGCTATAGGGACTCTCCTGGGAGCCAAGTCTTTTGGTGGCTCTGACCGAATAGGCAGTCGGGCATGTCCTGGGTCTGTGGGAAGAGGCTTCTTTTTCTTTACCCCGTCTCATGAGGCCTAGAATCCTTGCAAGGCTAAGGAAAGTTTTGGACCTGATAAAATGCCTGTCTTTTCCCATTGTGATACCTGGTGCCATGGCTTCTCGGTGAGTCCTTTAGACTGCCCATCCAAAGCACCCCCGCCACCCCCTGCCACTCCTGAGGGTGTCAGGTGGTAGAAGGGGCTTGAAGTCTCACTCTGGTGGGTACGTCCTTGTGAGCCTGGTGGGCTGTTCTCTCAACCCAGGCAGGCTCCCTTGCGGCGTATGTTGGGGAGGATGGGATGGTGCAGTGATGCCCCAGAGCCCAGCACACAGTCCGTGCTCAATGGCTGTCAGACAGCCTGCTGGTCGATACCGGGTCTGTGCGGGTGATTCATGGACACAACCCGTGTCAGCCTTGCCAACGGCCCCTACTCAGAATTGGGTAAGGTAGGTTTCTAAAAATGAGGTTTGGCCACCAGGATGTGGTGGAAGGTGAGGATTTGTATATTATCCCCCATGTTTGGTGGAAGACAGCTCTAGGACAGGTCTTTTTTTTTTTTTTTTTTTTTTTTAAATGACAGAGATCACAAGAAAGGGAACACAGGCACAGGGGAGCTGGAGAGGGAGACGCAAGCACCCTGCCGAGCGGGGAGCCTGATGAGGGGCTCAATCCCAGGACGCTGGGATCATGACCTGAGCCAAAGGCAGAGGCTTAATGACTGAGCCACCCAGGCGCCCAATTTTTGCTCTTGCTGGCAGTGCCCTCTGCAGCTGGCATCCTGGACCCTGGGCCAAGCAGGAGGGTTGGGCCCAGGGTGTGAGGTAGTACTGTGGGACAGCTGGGATCCCAGCCCTGCCCTAGTCTGGACTCTAGGTTTGGGCTGTTGAGTTAAGGTTCTCTGCATGCTCTGGAAATGGACTTCTGTATCTGGCCAAGTACCTCCACATGAATGCTTCTCCCACAGAGCAGCACCAGCTCTGATCTGGGGAGAGATGGGATGGACACCGTTCCCATTTGGGCTACAAGCTGCCATCTAGTTTGTGCGGCTGAGCAGGTGGGAGGGCGTGAGTATAGATTGGATGTTTGGGTTCTATCTGATGACTCTTTCACATAGTGTTCCAGGTGTCACACTTTAGCTTTCTAGGACCAGAAGGGGGAGGCAGGGAAGGCCAAGGGCTGGCTCCAGCCTAGGATCTATATGAACATCTGCTTTGCATTCACCCAGCAGGCCATCTCAATGGTGTGTTCTTTCTTTGCCCTGTCCCATCTTTCCTGACTCGTGTCTTAATTACCTATAAGTCTGGAAATGATGAACTCTGAGCCGGTCACTTGTTATCTCACCTTTAATGCCTGGTCAGCTGCTCTGGGCTCTGTGGTTTTGTTGGCAGGGAGAGCTTGCATGTGTCTGGCATCAGAGCTCCAAGCAGAAACCCTGTATATTCGCTCCGTGTATGTGCTGAATTTGGCCTGAGGCTGGTGGGACCCGGCACTTCGGGCGTACGGACTAGGGCTGTGGAAGACAAAAAGCCACAGGGCCATCCAGGTGGAGCTTTTGCCCTGACCAAGATGTCTCTGAGTCTCCACTGCTGGGGATTCCAGGCCACCGACACGGTGTAGTTGACCTTGGCGTCCCCCGTAGCCAGGCGCCTAGGCAGCCAGGACCTGTGTACCAGCCCAGGCTGTGTGCCCGGGGCTGCACACACACTGCTCTCTCCCCTAGGAACCAGGGCCAGCCAAGGTGGCTGTCACCAGCAGCAGCAGCAGCAGCAGCAGCATTCCCAGTGCTGAGAAGGTCCCCGCCACCAAGTCTACACTCTGGCAGGAAGAAATGAGGGCCAAGGACCAGCCCGACGGGAGCAGCCTCAGCCCCGCTCAGAGTCCCAGCCCGAGCCAGCCTCCTGCTGCCAGCACCCTGAGGGAACCTGGGCTGGAGAGCAAAGATGGTAAGTGGGGGCCGGAATGGCTTGTCTGCACGCCTGTTCTGGTGGCCGGCCTCACAGTGCTGGAGCAGGCCGCCATCCCAATGCAGCTGGCACTGAGAACTCAGGGACACTGAGCCCTGGGCCTCAGGCTCCTTCACCTGTGTCCATCACCACTTGGCAGGGCCTGGGCCTGGGTGGGGCTGGGATTCCTGGGCTCAGGCCTTGGCTTGCCCCTCTGGCTCTTAAGTCCCATCTGTAAAGGAGGAAGGTAGCACCTGCTGTCTCAGCCCCGGGTGTGTGTTGTGAGAATCAGACCCTCTGGAATGAGGCTTGTGGAGGGAGGCCTCTGGTTCCTGCCCCCATGGCCGCCCTGTGTTCCTGGCCTAGAACCTGGAAGCTCAGTGTGTCCTGAGCGCAGCCTCGTCCTTCTCACTGTGCCATCCTGCCAGGCCCCCAGGTGCCTGGGAGGCTTTGCTCTGCTCTCTCCACTTAGCACTTTGGAATCGCCGAAGCAGAAGCAGGGCAGCAGTCTCTGCCTCCCTGTTTTGGGCCCCGGAGGGCTCTGCATGACATAGGCTGGCTTTTCCTATTTGCATTTTGTCCAGCTCATTAAAGACAAGGGGATAGTTGGGACTGACCCAGTTCATTCAGGCCAAAAGGTACTTAGCAGCAGCTGGGGGTGAAGCAGCCTGAGTCTTTCATGGGTAGTCCCATGCACTCCTCTCGTTCCCGCGGAAGTCCTCTGCCTCTTCCCTCCCCAAATGCCGTAACAGGCTGAACGGCCAGTTAGCCCTTGATTTCCTCCTTGACGTTTGGTAAGAAGTGGTTGTTAGTGGGCTTCTCTCCTGGGCGGGGGTCCTGCTCTCCCAAACTGGCCCCCAGACTAGAAGCTTGGGGACCCCCTGACAGTGTAGCAGATGCAGCCAGCTTAGAGGGAGACGGATGAGGCGCATGTGTGGGAAGGACATTTCGTTTCTGTCCCATGATTCTGCCCTTGGGGGAGCCCTGTATGGGTGGTTGCAGAGATGGGAGGTAGAGAGATGGCCCCTGTTTAGATCTACATAGGCTCTTTTAAAAGTCCCCAGAAACCAAAGGTGGCAACAGGCTAAGTACATCTCCTGACTCCCCCTTCTCTCTTTCAGAGGAGAGCACCATGAGCAGCGACCGCATGGATTGTGGCCGCAAAGTCCGGGTAGAGAGCGGCTACTTCTCCCTGGAGAAGACCAAGCAGGACTTGAAGGCCGAAGAGCAGCAGCTGCCCCCGCCGCTCTCCCCTCCCAGCCCCAGCACCCCCAACAACAGGTATAGTGGCCCCGGACCGCCCTCCCAGGAGCTTGGTCATCCCCTTCCTTCCCCAGGTTCTCGAACCCCCAGCCGAATGGTCTGCAGCAGCTCTCTTGGCTCCCTGGACGTGGCCAGCCGGCCCCCCATCCACATGGACTCCGACAGCGCTGGGGGGCGGGGAACAGAGAGACCGGGGCGCACCTTTGCCTTTAAAGCCAGCAGGCAGTATGCCGCCCTGGCCGACGTCCCTAAGGCCGTCAGGATCAGCCACAGAGAAGCCTTCCAGGTGGAGAGAAGGCGGCTGGAGCGTAGGACTCGGGCCCGGAGCCCTGGCAGGGAAGAGGTGGCCCGTCTGTTTGGCAACGAGAGGAGGTAAGGAGTGGGTTATAGGGCCACACGTGCCATGGACACACTCCCCCACCTGTACGCAGTCTCTTGTGTATACTCACATTCTCCCTTACACTACACGCTCACTCACTCCCTCCTGTGTCCTTATAACATGCTTTTTACACTTCACACACACAGACACACACACACAAACACACTTTGACATACACATTTCCACGTTCCCTAAGCCTTCCTTGCAGGAGTGCACTTGTCTTCCCTTTCCGTTCAGAGCATGTGGGGAAGCTTTCCCTTTTGACCCTAGATTCTAGTCACGGAACTCTCAGGCCCCGGTAGCCAGAAACATAGCATCTCCGGACACCCAGACCCCTGGGCCAGAGGCTGGCTGCTACCTGTGAGTGCCTCTTGGCACTGAGACCTTAAGGGCCCCCCCGGTGTGTTCTCAGCCACCTGGGCCTTGTGTAGCTGGATATTTTCCTTCCTGGCCCATGTCTGTCCTCTGAGATGACCATGGAGGCAGGAAGAGTCTGGAGAGGCGGATGGTGGCAGAAGCGCCCCTTGCCCCTCCAGTCTTGGGCACGGGTGAAGGACATGAAAGGCGGTGGGGTGGGTAGCCTGTGATGTTCCCAGGTGCCCTGGAGCATCACTGTATCCAGGCTTGGCTGGAATGTGAAACCGGGAGGCTGGCAGAGCGCAGTTTCCTGGAGAGGCACAAGCTTTAGGGAGGGGACCTAGGACAGGGACTGGGACAGAGGCATGGTCTGAAGAGAGGAGTGCTCTGTCCTTCCTTCTTGTTCCACTGGCCCTGTGCTTCCCAGAGAGCTGGGGAGAGAGCTTGGTTCCATGTCTGAGGCCCTGTCCTGGACCAGAGTGCTAGAGTGCCCTCTTCTGAAAGGAGCTTCCATCCCTGAGTCAGTAAATGGAGCCTTTGCCCTGACAACAGGGTTCTCACCCGGGTCCAGAGATGAATTGCCAAAGGTCCACGAACCCCTCTAAATGATTCAAGAGTCCATATGTACATTTTTCTGGGAAAAGAAAAGCCATAATTTTCATTAGGTTTCCAAAGAAGTTCACTTTGGCGGGGGGGAGATTCAGACCTAAATTCCAAAAGCGTTCCGAGTGTCCCCTCCACCCTGCTGAAGCCTAAGTAAAGCTCAGAATTGGGGCATGCTATGGGGACAGGGCAGGGTGGCAACGGGCTTCCCCCCTTGAGGGGCTGGCCGCAAGCAGGGTGCCTTTCCTGAATGCACACCTGCTCTCCCAAAGCCCCGGGGCCCACCTCCAGAATAAGGAGGAGATGCCCAGAGTTGTTGGTCTTAAAAAGAGAAGAAAGCAGATGTGCCTAATTCCTAGGCAGAGGGAGAAGGAAGTTGACCTATTGCCTGGGAGGTGATCTCCAAGCACTTGGCTGTCTTCTTGTTTGGTTAGTAACCCGAGAGGTCATGTGTCATATCCCAGTGTGTGGACATAGAGATGGGAGCTCAGAAGTGGGAAGACTCCTCAAGGCAACAGCCTGGTACAGCAGAGCCAGGACATACCTCCACTCTGGGCCTTTAATTGGGGAGCGCCCTCTCCCTGATGTGACCAGGAGAGGGCCAAGGCTGTCCTTCAAGCACCTGAGTAAATATATCAGTGGAGGGGCTTGCCGACACTGAGGAGGCCTGTGGGCCAGGGCAGGGGAGACTTCACGCTGGCCAGCAGGTAGACCGCAGGTCTGGAGGCTCCTGAGTGGGCAGCTAGGCCCTGGGGTAGCAGCAGACCAAAGAATTAACATTCAGCACACCTGCTTGGCTTTGAACTTGTTCTTGTCTAGCCTCCTGGGGTAGACGGCATCTCCGGGACTTTACTTTCTGCATGCTCCTCGCAACCATGACATGGGTTTTCACTGGGTACTGGCACCCCTGGAGCCCAGCAGTTCTGCATCCTAACACTGTAATGTCACTTTCTTACCCTAATGACATCTGACTGGCTGCTGTCACTTTGCGAGGCCTGCGCTCTGGTCCCAAGTAGCCCTCCCTGTGCTTGATTGGATCCCTGGGTCCTCGTTGAATAGAGCAAAACCGCATATTGGCAGGACGTCCGCCGCAGCTATCCATAGTGGCCGCTGAGCCCGGCTGCCCAGGAGCCCGGCTGGGGAGACAGTGGGGGCTGGTTTCCTGACAAGCCGTGGCCCTGAAGGGAGCCTTTACGGGCCGATCCTCTCTGCTCTTCGCGTTTGCTCCAGAGCTTTTAGAATGTTTCCTGGATGGTGAGTCACTGCTGAACCAGCCTGGGGAGGCCGTAGCCCTTGTTGAGTTCTTGGTGACTGACACCATTACTGGCACTTGTGCGGTCCTCACGTCCCCTAGGCTGGGAACCTGGGGAGGGGAAGCGGAGCCGAGGTGCAGGTGTCTCCTTTCTGTGCTGTCCGCCAGCCCAGGGAGACCTCTGCGGCCACGCCTGCAGTACCTCGGGAGCCAGTATACAGGCCACTCGCTCGCTTTGCCAGATAAGCCAAAATAAGCCATGGCCGACCGGCCCAGAAACCCCCACTGTGTGTGGAGGCTGCACTAAGCACCACTTCCCTTTCCTCCTCTCCGACTCCTCTTTCAGCAGCCCTGCAGGCCTGCAGCATGCAAGCCGCATGGGCCTTGGTGGGCCGCTGTTCCTCGAGGCCTTCCTGCCACTTTCTGGGTCGGTTGGAGGGGCTCTCATTCTGCAAGTGATGGTACCTAGCTCTGTGCGTGGGCCTGGAACCTTCCCCAAACCCCTCTAGGATGGCGGGGCACGCGACACCCTCTTCCTGACCAGGCCGAGCGCTGACAAGAGCTTTCTGTGGTTCACAGGCGCTGCCGCTGCTGCCTGAGCTTCCCGCGCTGTCTCGCCCTCTGCTGTGCTCCCTCAGCTGCGGCCCCCGCCGGCCTGGGAACAAGCTCTGTGCCTGGAGGAGATTCTCCAGAAGCTTAGGACACCAGAGCTTAGAGAGGAGCAGAGGGCCTAGGAGCCCTGAGCCTTCTACACTTGGGCTTCAGCCTTCTTTGATGCAGAAATCCTCAGAGATCCATTTACTCCCTGAGTAAAAGCTGGTCTCTTGGCAGGGTCTCAGAATTTGAGCCCCTTTCCTCTTTTTCCTTATAGAGTTAGACATTAGTCTTTGGTTAGATTTCAATCTTTTGGGCTCAGAGGCCCTTGCTTCCCCTTGACTCTCTGCCATTAGCCCAGAATGCAAGTAAAAACCCTTCCTATGAGGTGACCTTGGGGCACTTGCCTGGGTGCCCCTGGGAGGACAGGCCTCTGGTTTGGTGACACGTTAATATTGTGTAAAAGAAAAAAAGGAAGGACAAGAGAAAAGAGAAAAGAAAAAAAAAAATTCAACTGAGTAAATTCTAAAGATCTTCTTGGCTTTATTCAACAATTCATGAATCAGGCAGCATCCCATCTGTCAAACAGAAAGGAGCTCCAAAGAGCTGTACAAAATAAAGGACTTTTATAGGCAGAAGAGGCCAGAACAAGTTAACAGTAGCAAAGAGTGCATTGTTTCGGACAAGGTCACCTTCCTTTGATGGCCAGCAGAGGTCTCTCAGGTAGATTACCCCACGGGTGCTGACTAGTAATTCCAATTTGCTTAGTTCAAGATTCTACTCCTGGGAGAAGTTGAAACTTGAAGTAAGTTTAACCACCATCTGGTGACTTGGGCATAGCACAATTGACTCTATTCTGGGCCTGTTACCTTTTTAAAAATTTTTTATTCTTTTTTTTTTTTTTTTTTAAAGCAATTGCCCCCAACCTCCCCTTTCTTAAATTTTATTTATTTACCTATTTACTTAAGTAATCTCTACCCAGTGTGCAGCTCAAACTCATGACCCCGAGGTCAGGAGTGGCACTTTAACTGAGCCAGCCAGGTACCCCACAATCCCCCCACTTTTGTTCAGATTCTCAGCTTAACCGAGTGGCATGATCAAAATTTAAAACCTTAGCACCACTCCCAGCTACTGATCAAATTCTTGGAGTTTTTGCTGTTTCTCCATGGTCGTCACAGGTCATGACGTTTTTTGCTGAATCTCTATGGTACTCACAAGTCACAATTTCATGTTCACATTTTTTTAAGTCAGTTATCCTCTTCATTGCATTCTGATGGTCCAGTCTTAAGGAGATCATTCACTTTGTGGTTAGTGGCTGCAAACACACGTTTAAGAGACTGTAATGCACGAGGGAGACTACTGTGGTTATTTTAAGCAGGATAATTCCCAGTGTCTGGAGTGTGTTTTGGATCCATGGTCCCCAAGACCCAAACCGACCAAAATCAAGTAACTCAGAGAAAGCCCTCCCCTGAAGGAATCACCTTTTCTTTTTCTTTTTTTTTTTTTAAATGAAGTGTCTTTTTCAATGATTTTCACATAGCTGGGTTTCAGATTTCCCAGAAGTATTCATCTAGGTGCGTAAGTGGCACTGACCACAGCACCGACAGCTCCTTGTTTAGCTGCAGGCTTATCAGAGGATACCCTATTACGAAGGACAACTTTGGCCTTGCAGAGATGGGGACTGCTGCTGAGATCTTTTTATAATTGGGGGCAAATCTGATTTAGGTAATCACAAGAACATGGGAATACAGATGTACTACGATTTGCTTAGGAATTTGTGTCCAGTTGGGCGAGTACAATTATAATCGTTGAAAGGTGAAAACAAGGCACTAGATGTTCTGGCTGTAAAAGTCGGATTGTGTAAGTGACTCCTAAGATCAGGGAGTCCATTGGGAATAGAAGGGAAATTGGTCACAGGGAGGGCCAGGGGGTCTCTAGTATCATGGACTGGTAAAGAACTCTTTTAATTGTTAAATCTAGCAGTCTGAAAGATATCCAGCCCCCTGCCCTCCCTTAGTAATGGCCTGAGAGATACGGGTGGTGGCTTTCTTTCCAGACCTGTGCCAGAGTAGAGTAAAGGAAGAGGAAAGAATTTCATGTTTAAAGAATGAAGTCTTGATCCAGCATCTTGGGTGGAAGCAGTCCACTTTGATGTCAGCTACTTTCTCGTCAGTTTGATGTTGAGGT